ACGCACATTCATAAGCTGAGACTTTAATACCCCTCTCTCTAAAACTAACTAAAAAACTAGACAGAAATTCGGCAAAAATATATAACTCAATAGCCATCAACTAACTGGAGCTAACAGACGTGTGTGTGTGTGTGTGGTTTAGAGACAGGGTTACCCAGGCCAGAGTATAGTAGTGCAGCCATAGATTACTGCAGGCCTAAACCTCTGCAGTAATTTGGTAGGGCTCAAATTATCCTACCACCTTACCCTCCCAAGTGGCTAGGACTACAGGCATGCTCCATCATGCTTGGCTAATTTTGTTGTTGGTGGTGGTGGAGAAAGGGTCTTGCTATGTTGCCCAGGCAACAAACTCCTGGCTTCAAGTGATCCTCCCATCTCAGTCTCTCAAAGTGCCGGGTTTATAGTCATGAGCCACATGCCTGGCCCCAGCAGACATTTAGAGAATACTCCACCCAGCAATAGCATTTCAACAGTAGCATTCTTTTCAAGTACCCATGGAATATATGCAAAGAGACAATATGGTGGGCCATTTTTAAAAAACTCAACAAATTTAGAACAATTGAAATCATATAGTATGCATTCTCCAACCACAATAAAATCGAACTAGAAAGCAATAATAAGGAAGTTATCAAGAAAATCTCCAAACACGTGGAAACTAAATAACACCCTTCTAAATAAGCCATAGGCAAAAGACAAAAAATCAAGGGATATACAAAGAATACAATAATGACCAGCCTGGGCAATCTAGTAAATTCCATCTCTATAAAAACTTTAAAAAATAGCCGGGCATGGCAGCACACATCCGTAGTCTCCGCAGCCTGGGAGGCTGAGGTGGGAGGATAACTTAAACCAGGAATTAGAGGTTGCAGTGAGTTGTGACCATGCCACTGCACTACAGCCTGAACGACACAGCAAGACCTTGTCTCAAAAACAACAGAAAGAAAACAAAAATATAACATAACAAACTTTGTTGGAGAGCTAAACCAGTACTGAGAGGGACATTTACAGTAGTAAATGCATCAGAGAAGACGGAAAGTCTAATCAATAATCTAAGTTCCCATCTGTAGAAAAGAGGGAAAAACAACAAACAAGCCAAAAGCCAGTAAGCAGAAGTAAGGAAATACAAAGAGCAGAAATCAATGAAATTGAAAACAGCAAAACGACAGAGAAAAACCAATGAAACAAAGAACTGGTTATTTGAAAAGATCAGTAACATTGACAAAATCTCTTACGAGACTGATAAATAAAAAGAGAACACTGAATTACCAGTATCAGGAATGAAATAGGATATCAATACAGACCCTTCAAATATCAAGGAGATTCTGTTCCTTTTCTTGAAGTTGAAAAAGAAAAAAAAAGAATGACTCAGATAATAAGGGAATACTATGAATAACTCTACAAACATTTGACGACTTAGATGAAATACACCACTTCTAGAAGAACACAAACCACTATTATTCACCCAGTATGAAACAGGTAATTTGAAAAGCCCATGACAAATAAGGAAATCTAATTAATAAATAAAAACCGTGTGAAAAATTAACCTCTAGACCCAAATAATTTTGCTAGAAAATTCTATCAAATATTTGAAGAAGAGTTAATACCAATTCTATTCAATATCTTTCAGAAAATAGGAGAAATACTTTTCAATTCATTTTATGAAGCCAGAATTACTCTGATACCAAAAACAGACAAAGATAGTACAGAAAAAGAAAATGACCAATATCCCTTATCAATATGGATGCAAAATATATAGAGATACAGAGACATATAAAAATAATTATATACCATGATCAAATGGTGTTTATTCCACTGATTCAAGGCTGGTTGAATAATCAAAAATCAATCAATATAATCTACTATATTATCATTAAATATTCTACATTAAAGAATAAAAATCAGCTGGGTGTGGTGGCTCATGCCTGTAATCCCAGCATTTTGGGAGGCCAAGGTGAGCAGATTGCCTGAGATCAGGAGTTTGAAACCAGCCTGGCCAACATGGTGAACCCGTCTCTACTAAAAGTACAAAAATTAGCCAAGCATGGTGGTGTACACTGGTAGCCCCAGCTACTTCAGAGGCTGAGGTAGGAGAATCAATTGAACCTGGGAGGCGGACGTTGCAGTGAGCCAAGATCATGCCACTGCACTCCAGCCTGTGCAACAGAGCAAGACTAAGTCTCAAAAAAATAAATAAATAAATAAATAAAATAAAAATGACAAGATCATATTGATGCAGGAAAAATATCTGACAAAGTTTAATATACATTTACAATTAAAAGTATCAGAAAAAATATGAACACAGAGAAACTTCCTCAGCTTGATAAAGAGCATTTACAAAAAAATCTACAGTTAACAACATTATACTTAATGATGAAAGACTTAACTGCTTTTACCCTAAGATCAGGAACAGGGCATTAAGGCTGTCCACTGTTACCTCTCTTACTCAATACGGTGCCAAGAGCTACTGTAATAAGGCAAGAAAAGGAAATAAAAGGCACATAGATTGAAAAGAACAAAATAACTTGCTATTTTCAGATGGCATGATTGTCTATATAGAAAATCCTAAGGAAGCTACAAAAAAGCCCTAGAAGGCCAGGTGCGGTGGCTCATGCCTGTAATCCCAGCACTTTGGGAGGCCGAGGTGGGTGGATCACAAGGTCAAGTGATCGAGACCAACCGGGTCAACATGGTGAAACCCAGTCTCTACTAAAAATACAAAAAATTAGCTGGGCATGGTGGCAGGTGCCTATAATCCCAGCTACTCAGGAGGCTGAGGCAGGAGAATTGCCTGAACCCAGGAGGCGGAGGTTGCGGTGAGCTGAGATCACGCCATTGCACTCCAGCCTGGGTAACAAGAGTGAAACTCTGTCACACACACACAAAAAGCCCTAGAATAAGTGAGTTCATCAAGATCTCAGAATGCAATATAGACACTAAAATCAATTATATTTCTATATACTACCAATGAATATGTGGACATAAACATTAAAAAGAAAATAATAGTTAAGTGTAAATATAATTAAACATGTATATAATTTATATGCTGAAAACTACAAAAAGCTGATTTAAAAAAATCAAAGATCCATATAAATGAAAGACATACTATGTTCATGGATTGGAAAACAACATAGTGAATTCTCCCTAAATGGATCTATAGGTTTAAGCCAATTCCTATCAAAATGGCAGCAAGGTATATGTAGATATAGATATGCTTATCCTCAAATTTATATGGAGAAGGAAAAGGTCCATGAATAGCCAAAATAATTTTGAAAATGAAAAATAAAGTTTAGTAGCTACAGTAATCGAGACACTGTGGTACTTTGTGTATAGAAAAACAGACACACAAAGGAAAATAACTGAAAATCCAGATATAGACCCACACAAATAAGTCCAACTGATTTCTGGCAAAAGTACAAAAGCAGTTCAATGACGGAAGGACAGACTTTTCAACTAATGGACAGAACAACTGGACATCTACACACAAAAATATAAAATGAACAAAAAAGAATCTTGATCTAAACTTAATACCATATACAGAAATTTACTCAAAATGGAGCATAGAGTTAAATGTAAAACACAAAACTACAAAATCTTTAGAAAAATACATAGAAGAACATTTTGGGGATCTGGGGCTAAGGAAAGAGTTTTTAGACTTCATACCAAAAGCACAATCCATAAAAGGAAAACTGATAAACTGGATGTCATCAAGCTTAAAAACTCTGGGGATGGAAGCTGAGCTAGGAAAAGAGGGGGGGAAAAAGGTTAAAAGGTAAAAAAGGCGAAAGACCCTATTAGCCAAAGAATGGAAACAATCCATTCCAATGAACAGGTCCTTCAACAGGTGAATGATTAAAAACAACTGTAGTACATACATACCATGAAATACTACTTAGCAATAAAAAGGTACAAACTATTGATTCATACCAACGACCTGCATGAATCTCTAAAAATATTATACTGATTGAAAAATGCCAATCTCAAAGTTTATGGCAGCAAGGTATATGTACATACTGTGATTCCCCATGTATAACATTTCCTAAAATGACAAAATTACAAAAACAGAGAACAGAATAGTGGTTGCCAGGGAATACAAGTGGTAGCTGGAATGGGAGGAAAGTTGATGTGGTCAGAAAAAAAGCAACAGGAGGAATCCTTGTGGTGATGGATGTCTAAAGTCTTACTTTATAAATTTAGTGTAGTGGTGTGATGTACTATAGCTTTTCAAGATGTTACCATTGGGGAAGCAGGCCAAAGGGCACAGAACTGTTACCTCTCACAAGTGCACAGGAATCTATGATGATCTCAAAATAAAAAGTGTAATTAAAAAGTGGAGTCTCATAGACATGAGGAGTAAGAAGGAGAAAAAAGTAACTGCATAAAGAAGCCAGAGTGTAAAGAAGAGACTGGCTACCAGTGTGGATGACCACAGGCAGATGTCCCCCCAGCACTGCAACTCTGGATTCCTCAAATACGTTTTGCCCAAACGAGCGTCGCTAAGACTTCCCGGTAAGTTTGTGCTACTACTTCAGTTGGCCTTCCAGCGTAAAACATTTTGGAAATCTCGTCCAAAATAACCAGGAAGCAGAATCTGGAAGAATCCAGAGTCCAGTCAAACAAAGCCTTAGCACAGAATGTGGAGGACAGGACAAGCCACCATGCAGAGCTGAACGTGGCTTCACATCCCCAGCTGGCTCTGGCAGCAGCTAAAGGTGAACTATGCTGAAGATGGAAGCTCACGGTGAAGCATGAAGCACACGTGAAGATGAAAAATGCTCTTCCAAACACAAAATGAACAGAAACAAAACAATACCATGTAAGTAGCTCCACTTATTGGTTAATAACTAAATGAAGGGAAAAACATATTTCAGAACAATTAACAAACTTAAAAACACTCAACAGAAGTTGTGTCAACTTTCCCTGTATTGCATGCTAGGAAAAGTTGCACATCCTATTCAAACGAAGTCCTCAACTCTGAAAAGGTGAAAGGCTCATTTTCATACCTCCTACTGTTAGCATTCGAAGTCGTTCCTTGAAAACTGCAAGATCTGAGAGGCAGAGTGGGGTATCATGGGTGAGCGCAGAAGGAAAAAGACAGGTGAGAGTTAGTTTAAAAAAGACCCAAACACCAAAACCCTACACCATTACTGCAGTAACAGGTAGCACAGACACCATCACAGGGACACACACACACCAAGGGAGAAGTGGGTGGGATACATGGTAAGGGGATCAATTTCGTTAAACATGGAAATGATTCATAGAACAGCTGGAATAAGGTGAATCAGAAGGGGGGGGTTGGCACCCTGACAATGGAAAGCCATCAGGCAGCGTCGTTTGAGAGCTCCTCGTCTCCCTAGCTTCAAGAAGTGGCTGGTAACAGCACTTTCCTGAGAAGTCACACAGACCCAAGGAACACTACTTTGAGATGAAAATCAAGGAAAAGAAAATGAAAAAGGCTAATTTTTAGAGTAGTCCTCTCTCAGAACTAGATTCAGGCAGCAGACTACACCGTAATATTTTGAAGAATTCTAAAGAATGGAAGGAGTCCTTGACCTCCCATTTCAAGAAGACAAACTAGAAGAGAGTCACAGCTACGTCTGCACAGCTATACAGTTCCTTCTACCTGAAAACTTTGCATCGGATTTCTACTATACATAAAAGCTTTCTGAGCTGCTGGCGAAATCAAGATGTTGATTTGGATACACAAAACACACTCCTGACCCTCGTTGTCTGCATGTGCGCCTGGGGAACAGGGTCAGGAAGGTAGGCGGTAACACGACAAACAGAAAGGCTGATGGCTGAGCACTCAGAGCACTGTCACTGAGGATGGTCCCTGTGCTGGGACTAGAGAGAAAGAAGCGCACGTTCTCTGAAGTCAGACTCAGAACCCAAGAAACAGGCCTGTTTCCTGGGGCTATGGCAGGTGCTGCAGATCTCCAGTCCTGGGCAAGCCACACAGGGTAACTGCCACCTTCCCCCAGGAAACAACCACTAAAGAACTCAGAGCCAGGTGGCCATTAAGACAACAGAATATCTAAGTGTTGCCATTTTCCTTAAGGCAAGGATGAAAAATCTTAAATTTTCTCCTTCAATCTTCAAAATCAAGACATGAGACCATGTCCAGATGCCATAAATGCTCCTGATGAGCTCTGAGGTGTATGTCAATCACTCTGGAGACTCCAGGTAAGGATCCATACAAGGGAGGGCCTCAAAAGGAACCTTAAATACTCATTCCCATTCTAAAAAATCTAAAGGCAACATGGCATGTTTACATTCTCGGTATTGAGTATATGAATGAGCTTACTTTTACCCGTACTTTTTTGTATTTTTTAAATAAAAGGCAAATAAAAGACACAAACCAAAGAAGAGGAGAGTGAAGAGAACAGAAGATATTCTGGTTGTCACAATTTACAGAAAGCACATAAATTTTCCAACACACTAGTGCTTTGAAGCATTATTAATTACTTCTTGAAGAGTACAGGTGCTGTGCAGGAGAGACAGAGGGGATGGATATCTGGCCACAGTACTTCCAAGTGAAGCACAGAGGCAGGAATGTTGACGCTGGGAGCTAGGTGACTTGGTTTACCAGCTCCTGGGTATCTCCAGTCAAAGTATCTTCTCAAATGTCAGATGTCTGCTTGGCCAGGCTTCTTTCTCCTTGAAGGTGACCATGTTGCCCATGGCTTAAACTGCCCTGGGTATGTACTTAGCTTGGCCCCGCCCTCCCGAGTCACTCAGGAAACCTCATCTCCAGCTCCTCAGTTATCTGTGGCACAGCGTGCTGCACACAGCCATCAATGTTGACTAAATGAACTGCTCTGTATCACTCTGAAATTCTAAAAGCTAATTAAACATCAACTCTATTTTTAGCTTATTTTTCTCAGCCATCAAAGGAACAAACTGGAGAGCCCTGGAAGGTCAGGATAACGTGTGGGAACGCTGTCATAACTGACTGTGCTGTTAATGACAGCAGGTTGTCAGAGAAAGGCAAGAGCTAAGTAGTTGACGTTCTGCCACATTTTTGAACTTCTAAATTGACTTTTTAACTATTTAACTCAAGTTCATTTCCGAAAACGGTATTAGCAATTTGCAAACATCAATGGTAAATGGGAGAGAAGTTTCACACTTTCTTCCCATTTATTTATGTTTTGTTTCTAATTCTCCTTTCATTATGTTTAGATCTCACATTAAAATACAGCTCACTGAGTGTGGTGGCTCATGCCTGTAATTCCAGCACTTTGGGAGGCCAAGGCAGGCAGATTACTTGAGCTCAAGAGTTTGAGACCAGGCTGGACAACATGGTGAAACCTTGTCTCTACTAAAAATACAAAAATCAGCCTAGCATGGTGGCATGCACCTGTAGTCCCAACTACTCAGGAGGTTGAGGCAGGAGAATCGCTTAAATCTAGGAGGCAGAGGTTGCAGTGAGTGGAGATCGTGCACTCCAGCCAGGGCAACAGAACGAGACTCTCTCAAAAAAAAAAAAAAAAAAACAATCCCAAAAAACCCAGTAAAGTACATCTCTCGATCACTTTCGTCACTGTGAAAAGTTATTCTATAAAATTTACAGACAATGGCATTTTTAAGTGGGAATCAAATGCTACACTTGAAAGATAAAATTGGGCTAGGGCAGTGGCTCTTGTCTGTAATCACAACACTTTGGGAGGATGAAGTGGGAGGATCACTAGAGGCCAGGAGTTCAAGACCAGCCTGACCAACAAGTGAAACCCCATCTCTACTAAAAATGCAAAAATTAACCGGGCATAGTGGTATACACCTGCAATCCCAGCTACGTGAGAGGCTGAGGCATGAGAATCACTTGAACCTGGGAGGTGGAGGTTACAGTGAGCTGAGATTGCACCACTGCACTCCAGCCTGGATGACAGTAAGACTCTGTCTCAAAAAATAAAAATAATAATTTAAAAAACCAAACGACAGCAACAAAAAAATTGAGGGCAAGAATTTCTCATTAAGCAAGAATTTCTAATTGTTTCTAATTAGGCAAATGAGTGGGCCTCACTGTTGGGACACACTGTCCTTTCCAAACCCTGGTTCTAGTGTTTTGCAATATACACCCATAACTACCTTGCCACCCCAACCTATGACTTTTCTTCAAGAGTCAGTGTAAAAAGCCTCCCTAGGAGCCCTCTTACTAGAAGATGTTGGGCTGTCACTACCTCTTACCCTGACTGGATCCATTCAGGAATATTATAACATGAGGTTGGTGCCTCATTCTACAGGTCTGCAGATTTAGTGTCAAAGAACCTCACTGTAGAATGTGAGTGAAGAGAAACGTGTATTCAATCCATCTCATCCGGGCATGGTGGCTCACTGTTGTAATCCCAGCACTCTGGAAGGCCAAGGCAAGAGGACTGCATGAGTCCAGGAGTCTGAGACCAGCCTTGTCAACATAAGAAGATCCTGTCTCTGTTTTTAAAGTAAAATAAAATAATAAATAAGTACAATAAACTATCTCATGTTAGAACTCTCAACCCTCTTTCCCAAGAGAAATAGGGTCTATAGTACAGCCTGGCACAAATTAAGATGAGCATCTGGGGATTTACCTGGAACCTGGCCCCTAATTAAAAGGTTATCTCTGGCCGGGCACAGTGGTTCATGCCTGTAATCCCAGCACTTCGGGAGGCTGAGGTGGGCGGATCACCTGAAGTCAGAAGTTTGAGATGAGCCTGGCCAACATGGTGAACCTCGTCTCTACTAAAAATATAAAAAACTAGCTGGGCATGGTGGCAGGTGCCTGTTAATCCCAGCTACTCGGGAGGCTGAAGCAGGAGAATCGCTTGAACCTAGGAGGCAGAGGTTGCAGTGAGCCAAGATTGTGCCACTTCACTCTAGCCTGGACAAAAGAGCAAGACTCTGTCTCAAAAAAAAAAAAAAAAAAAAAAAAAAGACTGTTCCCTGCCCCCCCAAATTAATTAATTAAAATAAAAAATCACTAGCCCCTTCATCTCAACAATATTTCTATTGTAGTCATAACAAGTTCTGTCATGCTGCACTTGAAAGATAAAACTGAGGGCAACAGTGTGTCCATAACATCTGATGGTAAATCCTGACACTCGAGGGCTGTTGAAGAGTTTTGTGTCTGTAGAGTCTCTCTTAACTGGCAAGAGTCTACTTGTTAATTATCTTTCCCTATTATTTCAGGGACCAGGAGAATTTCTGAGAAGTGAGGATATAGGTGCCCTAAGCCAGAATTTCCCAAACTTTTAAAAAACGGTCATAAAAGGCCAACTCAGTGCAAACTATAGCAATATACTCCACTTTATTAAAAACTCAGAGCAGACAAAACCCCCTGCTTGCACTGCAGACCAAACTGGCTGACCACCCAGGTGATCAGCTGGCAGTGTTTTCAGGGTGGCATCACAAGTGCCCTCTGAGAATGAATGGCTTTGCCAATGGCTCCTGCCCTCCATCGCTGCCCCCTACCTGAAGCTTTTCCAACAAGAGGCAGAACAAGTTCTGACAGAAGCACCAAGGGCTATGTTCAAACAAGGGTATGATCACTGCTCTGAGCCTGTTTCCCCTAGGAGAGGGAGAAACTGTCCAAATGCACAGGGAGGTGGGAAGGGCAGCTAAGCCGAGGCATGCGAAGAATCCTAGCTCCGGGGAAAAATGTCATGTGACACAGAACATCACCATACAATGCGTCCCTGAGCCCAGTCTACACACTGGTTGGTCGAGTCACCAGGTGGCCACTCAGCCTGTCCCCTTCTACTGCCTTATTCCTAAGCTGGCAAACAGTTCTTGCGGACCCAAACATCCCCCCATACAGAGTTCTCACTTCTTAGTTTGCAAATTCCTGCACTAGATGCTACTCTGGTTCCTCAGGGCAGTCTTCACCACTAACTCCTGTGTGTTCCTGGTCTTCTTGCTTGACCTCTCAGTTTCTGAATTTATCTTATAACTAGAGAGTTTGGCAGCTACTCATCTCAAAAGAATGCTCATAAGCCCACTCGGAGCATAGTAAGGTCCAGGCACTACTTTAAGGAGTTCATTCAGTTTTGAAACCACCTGAGGAGGTAGGTAACATCACCCCTGCCTCACATGAGGTGACTGAGGATAGAGAGGTTAAGCAAGTAGCCCAAGGTCACACAGCCAGTAATAGCGAGCTGCGATTCCAATCCAGGGACTATGGCTCCAGAGTCCAGGCTCTCTGAAGTTTGAATGAGATGACGGATCTTGAAGTATTCTATAAACTGTCTAGCAGTCACATTTGACCTGCTGTTTTCCTGAAGACCTGCATACATCAAGGGTGAGAGTTCAAGACCAATTTTCCTACAGATCCAAATGTTTAACAAGTTTACACCATTTCCATTTTTTTGCACCTGAAGATGTTATTGTGATTTTTAGGTCACACTATTTCAAATCCACAGGATTAAAATGCACCTTCCTCCTGAAAAGTGGAGACTACTCCCTGACTCTCTCTCAGTGGTTCCAAAGGGCTCCTGGCCAGAAAGGCCAGAAGTTTTCCTTCCTCAAAGGATTTCAGGAAGCTTTAAGGTCACTTCTGTATGTTTTGGTTTCTTGGTTTATAAAGTCCTTCTGTCCTCTTACCCACACCATGAGGTTGCTGAATCTGGAACCACAAACCTCACCGAGTGAAATACACAATGAGACCTTGTGATGGCCTGGGAAGAACTATGGAGGTAGGATTCCCAGATTCTGGCTCTGCCTTAGCCTTTAATTAGATGGGAAATTACTGGGTATGTTGACAATGCTTAGGGTTTCTCACCCTTCAAAGACTATGCTGGGTTGGGATCACCTAGGTATGGCCCCTCTTGATACTAGTCTGAAGAGGGAGAGGAGAGCTTTAGAGCTCCCTGGTTATACTAATGTGTAGAGTGGGGACGAGGAGCTGGGACAATGCAGGTTCTGGCAGGAGAGGGAGAACTGGTCACTTCACTTGCTCCTCTCCTGTTCAAATGTTTTGCTGCTTGTAGAAAATGAGCACTCCAGCCAGGCCCAGTGGCTCATGGCTGTAATCCCAGCACTTTGGGAGGCCAAGGTGGGAGGGATCACAAAATCAGGAGTTTGAGACCAGCCTGGCTGACATGGTGAAACCCTGTCTCTACTAAGAATACAAAAATTAGCCAGGCGTGGTAGTGCACGCCTGTAGTCTCAGCTACTTGGGAGGCTGAGGCAAGAGAATTGCTTGAATCTAGGAGGTAAAGGTTGTGGTAAGTCGAGATCGCGCCACTGCACTCCAGCCTGGGTGACAGAGCAAGATTCCATCTCACACACACAGGAAAAAAAAAAGAAGAAAAAAGAAAAAAAAAAAAAGAGCATTCCACAGCTCCCCTACCCTGCCTAAATGCAGAGGGAAGTTTTCCTCTGAAGAGGTGGCTTCCAGTTGCAGGTCCCTGCACTCTTTATCAGGACGTAGCAAGTCTACCAGCTGAAGAGTTTGGCCTAATCAGAGCACCTGAAGGGGCCCCACAGGTCTAGAAGTCTCTGGGGGCAGTGAGCACAGGGGGCTGGAGAGGCTCAGGGCAGACAGACTGTGATAGGACTGAGGGTGACAGCGGGGAGGATCTCTATACTAAGGGGTGGGCAGTAGGGAAGAAGCTCTAAGACCTCCTGGGGACACTGCAAAGAGAGGCCACTTCTTGGGAGCACAACGTTGTCATCATTGAATGAAAAAACAGGGTTCAATTAATGCCCAGTCTACAATCCAAACTGGCCCTAATCAATAAAATTCAAGAGGATTTTTCTAAATTCCCTTCCAAAATCTGATAAAGGGCTGGTACAATGTAAAGGAAACCCTATACTATCTAGGAGTGTTTTTGAAATCAAGACAAAAAACAATTACAGACCATCAATGCCAATTCCAAAGCCGACGATGTTTGACGTTTACTTGATTAATGCTTCATTTCCTAGACATAACTTGGCAATGCCTATAAAGACTGCACCATTCCCCAAAAGTGCCTGTGAGGAGGCTAATTCTATATCCACCCCAACAGCAGTGTTAGGCAGGTAAGTGATCATCAATTTCATAAGCATGCACAGTGTCTGTTGTGAACACCCTGGCCATGTAAAAATTAGTCACATCATCATTTCTTTAGTACAGGTTAGCAGCACAGTGACGTAAAGCAGATTAACTCTGCAAAGCAACTACAGGTGAGAGCCCAGCCACAACACCTGCCTCACTTCAGAAGGAGGAGGGGGTGCAGGTGGGACTACCTCTTGGCATCAGTGACAAAACCCCAATTGTGCTCCATACATGCACCTCCCAAAGGCCCTGACCTCCTGACGCTGTGGGAATGCCTTCCAAAGTTTCCTCAGTGTGATCACCAGCAATTACAAATCAGGAGACCCAAACTGCACAGCTAGCTCTGGAATTCATCCCCTACGGGACACGGCCGGCAGTCAAGGGCAGGCCACACCGGGCTTCAGAAAAGGGCAGCTGTGTCAGCAGTTCCTGAGCAAGGCGTTATGGATGTGCCTCACTGAAGGCAATGCTGCAATGAGATTTGGAAACCTGAAGCCAAAAGAGCTATACTCTGAAGTGCTTCTGATCCACCTGCCCCAGGTGGACAAGCTTTTTCCCTGTGCCACAAACCTTTCTGTCCAAAATTTTCTTTTCAAATTTTGAGACTTAAGACAATCTGGCTGAAAATGTAAGATAAAAATAACTTGCCCAAAACACACTAAGGCTGCAATACCGATAAATTTCAAGTGATCAGAACGAAAGGAAACTTAAGAGCCTTTCCCTCCTGCCTGGACATCCTGGCTACCACAGGTCGTGGCACAGCGAGAGGAGCTCAAGCAACGCAGCTGACTGCTCTCAGACCCTCACCAAGTTTGTCTGTGGATGAGATAATGTCAGCGGGCACGGAGGAGTCCAGATCAGCATCCAAAATCCCCAGGGGGTCCAGCTGTGCTACATGGTGCCCTCGTATCTATGAGTGGGCCAACGATGAGAGGGAAGGACACACACAAAAGGACAGGAGAAAAAAAAGAGGGAAGGGGTAAAAAAAAAAAGTAAAATTACATTAAATTAGCATTTACAGCTTAATTCTCACCCACGTTTGAAGAAACAGTTACTGGCGCATCATCAAAATTTACACAACTAATTCCGAGAGGATCAAGTTTTGCAATGTGGTGACCCCTGACCTGGAAGCAATAACACAAGTAAGTCGTTAAGCAGATCCAGTGAGCTGTGGGGAGGGTTAAGAGTCAACGTTATGCAAACCTTTCCCAAAGAGGAACACGTGCCAATAAACCCATATAAAAAAATTAGTTTTTAAAAGCCTTGGAATAACTTATTTCAAAAGCACTACTGTGCATAAATGTACTTCTATGAAAAAGAGATTAACTCAGGTTATGATAAACTTGGGAGTCTGAAAGGATCAGTGTCTTGGGATCTTTATACAGTTTCCATGGATAAACAGAAATGAGATATGCTAAGCAATTCTTACTCCAATGTGAAGCCTGCCTTAGCTCAGAACACAAATGTTTTGCTAATGTGCCAGGCAGTCCCAGCTACTTAGGAGGCTGAGGCAGGAGATCTCTTGAGCCTAGGGGTTGAGGTGAGACTGGGTAACACAGTGAGACTCCATCTCAAGTTAGAATAAATAAATACATTTTAAAGAAAAATTTTCCTGAGGAGGAAAATGAAGGCTTAAGTGTTGGCCTTAACTGGGGAGGTGTGCAGATAAGATATCAGATTACTAAGAAGGTTTGCCTTTATTATATAGCCGTGAGGAGTGAGGGCTCTGGTCCTGCTGCTGCTGAGTAGGTCAGCACACAGTAGTCAGAACAAAAATCGCTGCTACCCCACAGACTTAAAACATCTGATCTGAACTATTTAAAAACCAAAAGGAGAAAGAAAATCCCTTCCAATTTAAGAGTCTTTCACAATTTCTTGCTAGCAATTCGAGAAGGGAGCAGCTGCTGGTAAGTCACTGCAAGATCAAGCTGAAGTTGTTACTGAGGCCAACTATGTGCAGGCAGTGATACAGAAACACCACTGGGCCTCCTCCTTATGCAAATATCCACGTGGATAGCATTTTAGAGTAAAAGATTATGGCATTTACAAAACACCATACACCTCCTTTCTAAGGCAGAATACACTTGCCCCAGGGAGAGTCTTACTTGCCAGGCCATGGCATGAAGGGCCAGAGACCCAGGGCCTCCCCTGATGTTGCCCCATTACAACATCTGCACTGCTGCCCTGCTGGCAGAGGAAATGGCCCATGCCACCAGAAACCAAAGCATGAGAGAGAAAAGATAGCCCAGGGACATGAGTCCCCTTGTTGCCACCAAAGCAGCGACACAAGAACAGGTGGCAGGGTACTGGACGCCCATGGGAGCTTCCAGAAGGGAGGCACTGGGCTCACCTGTCTCTACCTGTCCTCCTTAGACTATTACAGATGAAGTCTTAAGGTCTGAACTCTGAGGTCTCCCCATGTATCAGGTGGACATCCTAGAAAAATTTTGGTTATTGTACTCTGGGAAAGGATAGGGAGGAAAAGCCCTGTCCTGCTTGACACTTGCCTAATGAGACTGGCCACCAACTGCAATGCTTTTGGAGAGTTCTCCTGCCCCTCATTGCTCTCTGTAGAGAGCTGCCTCTACCCGCCTCCATGTCCCCAAACTCTATAGGTTTTCTTCTCTTACAGAATTCAGCTGTTAGCAACTGAGAAGGGTGCATCAACCACCCACCCTTCCCAGCCACTGCTCACTGGTGGATGGGCACTTCTCCTTGATGCGCCGGTAATAACTTGGTTTCCCTGCCCACAAATATTTCTTGCCAACTTAGGAAAAGAAATAAGGAGCCCTTTATGGGGCAGGCATTAGTGGTGCCAGATTTGCTCAAATAGGGCTAGCCTGGTTCCTCTTCTCCTGTGTATCTGCTTTTTTAGCCTCCCAAAGCACCTTGTGTTTAAAGAGGTATAAGTAATATAACAACGTACACTCAGAAAGGCCAGAGGGCCCATGAGGTACAACCTAAGGAACACTGCACCCTTTCTTGTGTGGACAGTCAGCGCCCGGCTTACCTGATACGCCCTGATGAGAGACTGCACCGCCAGGTGGTCCTCCACGAGCTTGTCCACATTGGGCTGTGCTTCCACCAGGGACTGTGCATGGGCCACAGCAGCCAGGGAGCCTCGGCTCAGGGGAAGGGGACTCTGGTAGGCAGTGCCCGGTGGGGCTCCGGCATTCGTGTTGCGAAAAAAAATGTCCCATGACTAAAGACAAAGAAGGTACAGGGTTACCTCACTGCTCCCCTAAGTCCAGGATGCATCTGTGGCCACAGAACACTCTTTGTGAAGGCAAGGCAAGTCTATCACAGGCTGGCTGAGCCAGCTTCCTCCTGTTCTGGACAGTGCAGTCTCTGTTCCCAAATGGTAGGTTTCTCTCAGAGTTCGGGCCCCCTACTTTCCACTCCTTTTGTCTTTGGAATGTACTTTGTGACCCCCACACCTATAACACAAATGCCCTGTGGCCGCCTTCCATCAACAAACACACCCCAAAGGCCCAATGCCAAACAGCTCTCCTCAGCTCCCATACACTGGGCCTGGAGACAGACTCAGGAAGTAGGTCAATGGAGACATTTACTGTCTCAGCCTTCTCCGCAGGCTCCAGCACCTGGGAGGTGAGGCTCTTAACCTTCTGTCTATAGGTCTGCAAATTCTACTGGTTCTTCTGTGGGATGCCAGATGCTCACACCGCATCAGGCACCTCCCTCAAGACCCCAGAGGCTCAGCACAGCCTGTGAAGAGCCCAGGGTCACCTTGCTCACATCCTTTCACTTCCTTGGACACAAAGCAGAACATGATCCTTTGTAAGAGGCAGCACTAACCCCATAGAGAAATAATCTCTTTGCTACTTCAGGGGGCACTCAGGAGCTAACAGCTCAAGGTGTGGGGTCAGATATCAAAATTCAAATCTGATCTCTGTATTGGGGATTGAAATTCAAATTCAAGATGTAACCTCTTAGCGAGTTACCTTTCTGTGTTGTTTTCTCATCTATGAAAATAGAAATATATACGTTCTTCATAGGTATGCTGTAAAGACTCAAGAGCATAAAGGCATTAGCACACAGTTTAGCAGGTAGCAAGTACTTCACAAAAGTCAGGTGTTAGTATCAGTCTGAAATTCCTTAGTGCTACTATAAATTAATTTACTTATATTCCTACTATTCTTGGTTATTTCATGTCTAAATTATTTGATTTACAGTTTGCAGAGATACTGTGAACTCTAATAGTTTATTCATCTCATAGAAAGATGCAAGATTTTTAAATATTTAAGAGATCAGACACACTAAGATTTCACAAAAGTTCATTGTAAAAGAAAAGAAAAGCACAAACACCCAGTTTATTTATTTTTATTTATTTATTTTTTGAGATGAAGTCTCACTCTGTTGCCCAGACTGGAGTACAGTGGCATGATCTTGGCTCACTGCAATTTCCATTTACCAGGTTCAAGTAATTCTCCTCTCTCAGCCTCCTAAGTAGCTGGGATTACAGATGCATGCCACCATGTTTGGTTAATTTTTGTATTTTTAGTAGAGATGGGGTTTCACCAAGTTGGCCAGGCTGGTCTCAAACTCCTGACCGCAAGTGATCCACTCACCTTGGCCTCCCAAATTGCTGGGATTACAGGCATGAGCCACTCTGTACAGCAAAACACCAGTTTAAAAAAAAAGAAAAAGTTTTTTCTTTTCTGCAATACATTCTCCAGTTTCCAAAATTCTTCCATCAATAAACTCTGATTAGACTGTCTAGAAAAACTTGGAAAGGCAAAGGCAAAACTTTGAGACTTTTGCATTCTCCTTCTAACAAGATGCCACCCAAATGTGCTTCTTGTCTGGGATACGGGTGGATACCAAATGGGTCTGTCTGGGATACCAAATGGAGACCAGAGGGTAGAGATGGCTACAGAAACCATAATATTGGTCCTTAAGGTCTTCTGTTTTTTTCGGACAGGTTCTTTTATAATGCGGACTAGGGCATGGATATATGTCACTCGGATGGTCCCACTACCATGAGCACGGCTGTGTACTGCTGCTAGGTACAAGCTAGAAAACACACTATGATAACGCACAGGCCTGGACCATCTGCTAATGCAGGGGAGTCTGCTCTCTCAGTGAAAACTGTTTTGTGGAATATATTTTTTTCCCTTTCCTTTTTTTAATAGAATATTTAAAACATTCTATAATAAGCATTTTTTTTTTTTTTTTAGTATTCAGAAAAAATAAAGAAAACCACCATGTGACTGCACAGTATTGTGAATACACTAAAAACCATTGTAGCCGGGTGCAGTGGCATGTGCCTGTAGTCCCAGCCACTTGGGAAGCTGAGGCAGAAAGATCACTTAAGCCTAGGAATTCAAGGCCAGCCTGGGCAATACAGCAAGATCCCACCTGTTAAAAACAAAACTCAGCTGAATAGTACGCTTAAAAATGACTTACTTTTTTTTTTTTTTTTTTTTTTTAAGAAACAGGGTCTTGTTGCCCAGGCTGGTCTCAAACTCCCAGTCTCAAGCAGTTCTCTTGCCTCAGTCTCCCAAAGTGCTGGGAATCCAGTGTGAGTTACCAGGACTCAGCCAAATGATGACATTTATGTTAAGTGAATTATATTTTAAAATGTTTTTACAAGTCAAACTATTTGAGGTTTTACTGTTTTTGCCTTTCTGGTTAACTTCTGGTGTGCTGACTGATGTAGAAGAGAGATTTGGGGTTCTCTTCTGGCACCTTCCATAAAACCTACTGTAGAAGTATCTTATGCAAATGTAACCCAACAATCAGGAACGTGAAAAAAGAAGACTGCAAACTTGCCTTTTCTTCCTTTTTTCTGTTTTGAGACAGGGTCTGGCTCTGTTGACCAGGCTGGAGTAGAGTGGCATGATCTCGGCTCACTGTAACCTCCACCTCCAGGGCTCAAGTGATTCTCCTGCTTCAGCCTCCTGACTAGCTGGGACCACAGGCACGTACCACCACACATGCTAATGTTTTTATTAAATATTTTTGGTGGGGATGAGGTTTCACATGTTGCCCAGGCTGTTCTTGAACTCCTGAGCTCAAGTGATCTGCCCATCTCAGCCTCCCAAAGTGCTAGGGTTCTAGGTATAAGCCACCACGCGGGGCCTAAACTTTCCTCTTCAGCAGATGCTATCAAATGTTTGCTAAAGACACCCACAGTTTGGAATCTCCAAAGAGATTCTCTCAATCTTCTTCTATTAAATTGGTTCTCACGAAAAATTAGTGTTTTCCTGTTACATGAAAAATGCAGTATTTCCACCAGAGGAAAAAACTGACTTACTCTTACGAGAGAAAAGAGGATGCCTCAGCATCAACTCCCTAGGCAAAGTAAAGGCTGTCTCCCACTCAGTCCATGACTGGTTCTGTCAAGGACACAGGGATCTCAAAGGTGGCTGTGCACAAACACACTGGACACTCTCAGTTACTTCTGACATCACAGAGCTTTTCCAGCAGGCCTGAGAGCTCCCTCCATTCTAGAAGCAGAGATGACTGGGGGCCACACGCATTGGCCATCCATCCTCATTCTGAAAGCAGAGATGACAATGACGAACTCCTTGGCCTCTACCCAGGCCTCCAATAATGAGGACCTGACCTAAAAGGAGAAGCCCCTCTAATAGGGCAGGAAAGTGGGCAGGAGTCCGTCTGGCTGTATCCCACCCCCGCAGAGCAAGAACTAACAGCAAGCTGCCACTGTCACATAAAATCTAATCAGGCCAGGTGCCGTGGCTCACACCTGTAATCCCAGCACTTTGGGAGGCTGAGGTGGGCAGATCACCTGAGGTCCGGAGTTCAAGACCAGCCTGGACAACATGGTGAAATCTTGTCTCTGCTAAAAATACAAAAATTAGCTGGGTGTGGTGGCACAGGCCAATAGTTCCAGCTACTTGGGAGGCTGGGACATGAGAATCGCTTGAATCTGAGGCGGAGGTTGCAGTGTGCTGAAATCAAGCCTTTGTATTCCAGCCTGGGCGACAGAGTGAGACCCTGTCTCAAAAAAAAAACACCAAAAACCTAATCAAAGTTATTCTTTACCTCAAACTTGCACCAGTGCTAGAATCTCTACCCTCAAACCATGTGAACCACACCCCAAGTCTAGCTGTGCACACTTAGGTAGGTCCCTGGGGCCACAATAAAGTTCATGGATAGGGCATGATCCTTAAACCCAGTAAGCACCGGAGAGCAGCACAACCCAAACTTTATTAAAACCTTAAAACATACTGTCTTTCAGAAACACAGGGCAAAGTCACCTGAGCAAGACCTTGCATTGAGTCTCTCCAGCTGTACAGACAGCCTCCTTTATCCTAGGAGACAACAGCCACTTCTCGTTCCAGAGCTAAAAGTCACAGAAAATCACAAGTTTATTTCTTTTCAATAAAATTAGCTTTGAATAACAATTAAAACAGTAAAAAAAAATAGTAATAGCAGCTGTGATAGGAATAGCTAACTTTTACTGAGGCTCTCTGTGGGCTTTTCTGACTTACTTGAAGCACCTGGAATGTCAATCATGTTCCCACTGGAGAGATGTGGGCTCAGGCAGAATTTATACACAGCAGTCACCAGGCAGGGTATTAATAAGGTTAACTGAGTAATAGCAGAGCAATGCTTACATAAAGAACTCTGGTCACTCTAGTAATAGTGCCTCTTACCCTTGCTTAACCTTGCCAAAGAGAGCTGGGAGCTTCTGGGCTCAACAATAAAATGAAAGGAATTTCTACCCACTGATGCTCGGGATCATGAGGTCAAGGTGAAGGTCAGCTCTCTAGTCCTGAGAGCACAAAGGCTGCAGGACTCCTTCCAGCCTAGGCCCTGGAGAGAGGGCGATCACGATCATCGGGCCTCCTCTCTCTGACCTTCTTTTGTGCTTGGAATAAAACTCCAGGTGATTTTCAATTGGCTGAGGACAACTGCACAGACGGAAATTCAGCTCATGCTGGAGACAGTCAGAAAAAACTGGTTCATACCGGTACTGCTGAGCTGCCGGGAATCCCCAGGAAGGAAAATGCCCGGAATGCAACTTGGCATCCTTTCCCTTAAACGTCTTATCCCATGCATCCACTTCACTCTCCAGTCAGCTCAGCTCCCCGACCCTGCCCCACAGAGCCCACTCCTGTCTCCAGGACTGGGTGAGCCTGCACACCGAACAACAGCAAGCAAGTTAAGAATAAATATTTGTTGAAAGTCTCACGAACTGGAGTGCTCTTTGCA